GGATCATTTTCTCAGCGGGACCCGCCTGCTCCGCTGGTCGTTTGCTATTCTAAGGCGTCCAGCAGACGATACGGTCGCCATTGGAAGGTTTCGGCGCGTTTGGTTAAAATAATGAAAGAGCTAAAGATAGTTTTATCGTGGCGAGCTATCGGAAATGGACGGGGGTGGGACAGCCGTTAATACGAGTACAGCTGTCACAGCCGGACCGACAGCCGGACCGACAGCCGGGCCGACAGCCGGAGGACGAGGAACAGAAAACTTGAGAGCCGGAGACTTAGGAACAGAAGACCCGGCTTAACGGACAGCAGCCGGAGCCTGAGGAAAAGAGGATCTGAGATTTAGCTGTTTACGGCTTGTTACATTGTAGATCGGAAAAGAGCTGGTAGTAATATAAGGTTTATTCAGTACTGTGAGGATTAATTTCAAGCAAAACTAGAAAAATGTGTTTTTATCGCTAGTAGTATTCACCTCAAAGCTACAGTTTCAGAAGCTGCTAACTCCAGTTCTTTGTTTTTTTGGGCGATAGAGTAGTTTTTTTGGAAGATAGAGTATATGTATTGTTAATCGTGTTACTACAGCCTAACTCTACATCACCTACACTAATAGCATCCGGTAAAGAGCATCTGAAGATTAACACACGTCTTAAATTTTACTTAGGTAAAGCAAAAATTATATGAGCAATAAATTATCAGTTTTTCTTTCATAGTAAATAAACTTTTTTTTTGCACCATCGTTTGGTGCCATAACGTTTTATTTCGGGCTGAAAGACGGAGTCACTCTTAGACTTGCACACAGCGTAGACCAGTGAATGGTGCATCTCGGCGAACAGCAAATGGTGCACCACACGGACGGTGCACCACACGAACCAGCAAATGGTGCGCCACACGGACTAGCAGATGGCACTTGTCGCCATGCTAGGACCTCGATATAACATCAACGATGTAAAGTTTTTATTCCAATCTTCCGATTTCTCTCTCTACTAATTACCTCGTCACGTTTCCTTAATGAGCTTAAAAGCATGACAAAAAAAGCAACTCGTGCCGAGGAGGTATACCCTGTGTGTGTGCTTAAAGCGACACCTGTTTTATTTATACCCCTGCTGCCCTACCCACCCCTCCGCTTCCGACCAATTAATGGTGCCGGGTCATTAACTGGGGTCACGGGTCGTTAGAGCAGTCTATGGGGTGTCGTGGTGATCGCTCAAAAACTTTCCACAGTCGCAGCTCGTCTGGAACCAAATGAAAAGTACATTTTTATTATATAGGTTTTGTTTGTTGGTGATGGTTGTGGGTGTTGTTTGTTGTAGGTGTTGTTAGTTGGTGTTGTTTGTAGGGGTTGTTTGTATGGGTTGTTTGTAGGGGTTGTTTGTAGGAGTGTTTTGTTGCTGTTGTTTGTTGGTGTTGGTTGTAGGTGTTGTTTATTGGTGTTGTTTGTCGGTGTTGTTTGTTAATGTTGTATACTGTTGTAGTACAACTGTTGTATATGATGTTGTTTAAAGGTGTTGTATGGAGGTGTTGGTGATGCTGTATGTTGATGTTGTTTTCAGGTGTTTACGCCTTTAGTTTTGTGTGCTCGGTTGTATCGCAAATAGTATAATTGCTGAAAAAAAAGTAATTTTATGAAAACTGTGAAGTTTCTGTTAACTTTATGACTAGTAATTTGCTAAAACTCAGATACACAATCGTTACATTGCTATAAGGGTGACCCTACTTACGGGTGGAGTATTGGTATAAAGGTGACACATCTTACCACTGGTGTATTGGTATGAAGATGACTCAACTTACCAATTACCAACATAGCAATTATTGCACAACAATGTTTTGCGAATAGCAGAGATCAGCATCGTTTATGGCACCAGACATGACATCATCATACCGCGATAAACAAGTGACCCCCCCTACCATCCACCTTACAGGATACTCACATGAACCTGAATACGGTGTAAAAATATTCAGCTCACGATCACTCAAGTCATATCACCGTTATCTTTGCCAACACACGGCGTCATGTCGTCTTGAAAACATTTGAAAAGCAAATGGAATGTGGCCTCTCAGTCTAGGTGATCTCCCCTTTGTTTTTCTCTTCCAGTCAATCATTGATCTCCCCTGCCTCAGCTCACCAGAGCTCCTTGCCTGACAGCCATGCGATCACACGCGTACCTTCCGCCCCTAATTGTCACCGACTAATGAAAATAGTTACTCATTATGCAAAATAGGCAGCGCACCGACCGTCCCTCTCCCCCGTGCTGTATCCTTCCCCGCGTCCCTTTGTCGTCGTTGATTGGACGAAAACCCGAGTTCATTGTGACTTCCGGCGATCAGGTGACGAATCGCTTCCAAACGAGGCTTTGGGAGCGGAAGTGTGAGTGCTGTCCCTTTCATTAGGGCCACCCTGGGCGGCGGGGACGGGGCGGATAATGAGGCTAGCACAGGTGATAAGTAGAGCCCGGTAACGCCATCTCGGGCTGCCCAAATAGACCATCAGCTCATTTCCGTTAGCCGGAACAAAAAGATAAAGCTAATGCGTGTTGTACATTTGTCTCTGCTAGTCGCTGTTATGTTGTAGTTTGTGGTTGGCGATTGGAGTAAGGGTTATATTTAAGGTTAGCCATAGAGTAAACACTACCATCATAAACCCCAATTGGATACTAACCCAATCCTTAACTATAAACCCCGACTCTAACTTCTTTTATTAGCGGTAGTATCAGACTAGTTCAAATGTTTGAAATGTTTTTGAATAAGACACGCAGTAACTTGCTTTTGACAAGCGGTAGGGAGCATTTTGAAATCACCTGCCAACCTGTCTTATACCACATCTTCATGTTACAAATCATGGACGTATTTACATCTTCATGTAAAACAAGTAATTAAAAAAAGTCTAGTGACAATTTTAGCGCAATTTCCTTGTGTTATCTAAAAATAGCTATGTCGTAGCGTAAATCAAGAGCAGGGTTAGTAAAACCATTGGTTAGTTATTAAAACGTTTTTTATTAAAAAAATGTTTCAGTATTTTACATGTTTTATTTACAATAGAGTAACATGACTAAAAACCATTGCGCGCCTAGCTACTGAACGTGACGTCGCAGCCATTGAACGTGATGGCGCAGCTATTGAACGTGATGACGCGTGTGGTGTGGTTGCATACAATGCCTACTAATTCGGTCCAAATTTTAATTAATTCAAAAAATAATTTGTGACCGAACGGAAGGATATTTTTGAAAACTTTCTCCGGCAATATTGTTCTAAATTATAGCAGGAATCGATTGGTACATGTTTCAAGTCGCTAAGTGGTCTGGTTGCCGAGATATGGGCCAAAAACTGCATTTTTTTGAGGTTTTTTGGCTTTTCCGGGAAATCCATGAAAGAAACCCGGAATTTTTATGGCCTATGTTCATCCTCGTAACTTGCTTAACATAATTGCTTTTGTAACTAGTCATCGATATTGCTTCGTTGAGGAGGAGATACGACTTAAAGCCCGGACACACATTCATACATCCATACATTCATACATTCATTCATCCATTCCCAGAAATGACGAGTTAATAAACGCAATTCTCCAGAATGGAAATTGCGCTAAAAAATCTTGGACATTTTTACACCTTTAACACATCATTAACAATTGTACATCTTCCTGTAACAAATCATGGACATTTTTACATCATCATGTAACAAAATATGGACATCTTTATATCTGCATACACATCTTCACGAAACAAAACATGGACATTTTTACATGTTCATGAAACATAGTCACCCGACCGGACATTGAGTATTCTGCATTTAATCATTGATAATCTATTCAATCATTGATAATCTATTCAATCATTGATAATCTATTCAATCATTGATAATCTATTCAAAGATTTCGGTTAAAATATTGAAATTTTCAGTTAAAGAAAATTGAATTTCGTAATACGTGAAAGCAGATTGAGGGAGAAAACTCGGGCAGGGACCTGCTAAGCGCATCGATTGAGGAGCAGTGTGACAGTCAGTGGGACAGTCAGTGTGACAGTCAGTGTGACAGTCAGTGTGACAGTCAGTGTCAGGTTCAGCCAATTATCAGCCGGCCTCACGATGATGGGCAGAGGAAATTCATTAAGGCAGCACGCCATGATGCTTGCAAAATGCCCAAATTTAGCATCCACGTGAATGTGGCTGACGTCATGACATGCGCATGACGAACTAGATTTGAAGAGGTAAGTTAACTAATGCAGTTGGTTCAGCAAAGTATTTAGGCCCTGTTTAGGTTACGACACAACTGTTTTTACCTAATATTAGAAATACAACGTAATCTAATCAGGAATATCACATGGCACAAACTTTAAATAATCTAAAATGAACTGAACAAAATGGTGAACTTGTTCTTGTTGTGGGCTTTGTATAACATATTAATAGATGCTAGTTAGTTGTCTGAAGACTTCAGATGGTGTTTGGTGCATTAAGCTGGTGTTTCAGTGTGTTTAGCTAATCTTTTGGTGTGTTTACCTGGTGTTGTGTTGACTGCAGAAGGTCATGCGTGTTTCATAAAACGACATTTTAGCTTTTTGTATAACTTAAGATCTATTTATTACATGGTGGTGAATATTATTAGCTGAATCTGATGTTGTATGTTAGGAATGTAAAACTTCATCTGATGTTGTGTTGGGGTTATTTAGCTCTATCTGGTGTTGTGTTGAGAACGTTAAGCTCCATCTAAAGTTGTGTGTTGAGGTTATTATGCTCCAACTGATTTTATGTGTTGTGATTATTAAGCTCCATCTGATGTTGTGTGTTGGGGTTATTAAGCTCTATCTGGTGTTGTGTGTTGAGGTTATTAAGCTCTATCTGGTGTTGTGTTGAGAACGTTAAGCTCCGAGTGGTCTGTGTTGACACCTTGCAAGAGGTCACCCCGTCAGGTCTGACTTAATGAACACTTGCATTTGTTTCCGTTAATTACACAGAGAACTGGATCCCAGCAAAGGGGTTTGTCAGAGATGGACGACCTAGGGGGCGCCGGGAGCTCTAATAACATGTTGCTTGAGAAGTGGTTGACTGGAGGCATGGCATGGCTGAATTTGTAGAACTTGTCACGGCTGAATTTGTAGCACTTGTCATGGCTGAATTTGTAGCACTTGTCATGGCTGAATTTGTAGCATTTGTCACTGCTGAATTTGTAGCACTTGTCATGGCTGAATTTGTAGCATTTGTGATGGCTGAATTTGTAGCACTTGTCATGGCTGAATTTGTAGCACTAGTCATGGCTGAATTTATAGCATTTGTGATGGCTGAATTTGTAGCACTTGTCATGGCTGAATTTGTAGCACTTGTCATGGCTGAATTTGTAGCACTTGTCATGGCTGAATTTGTACCACTTGTCATGGCTGAATTTGTAGCATTTGTGATGGCTAATTTTTGTAGAGCTTGCTATGGCTGAATTTTTTTGAACACTTCAAGGCATAGTGTGTAGAACATATCAAAGTTTAAATGTCCATTCAGGTTTAGATGTTCATGTTCTACGTAAATCTCAAATGTCCATTTAGGTAAAAATGTTTAATGTTCCATGTAAAGTTTCAATGTCCATTCAGTTGTAGATGTCCTAATGTTGAAGTTGTAATGTCCGTGTAGGTGTAGATAAAAGCCAGCCCTGCAAGGAGAGCGATCGCTAAACGAAGTTTATAAACCAAACACACAGACATCGTTTTACCGTTGGTTGAGAACATCTAACTCGACACCCCGGGCCGTGACAGAGAGGGTCTCCTCGCTAGACCAGCTGACTTAATGACGAGAAAATACACTAAAACAACAAAAACAACTCCGTCATTGCCCAACTCCCTCCCTTGACCGGCCAAATGAAATGAAAGTGAGACGAGTGGATCAGGGGTAAACACCGCGACGCAACGTTTCAATCTCCGCCGCACCGGGCCTTTATCGAGGGTGAGACCAAACAGCCATCAGGGGCGTCCCGGGCGTCGTGACGTTTTCTTGTTGGCTTTTGGCCATCACCTGTCTGGGAGTTGACGGGCTGGAGGGACTCTTGACCGGGTGGAACCAGCACTCGTTGGGGCGATAGAGAACTCGAGGAGCTTGACCTCTCTGACGTGACCCGCGCCTGTCACACAGCAGCCAGAGTTACCCGCAATCGCGTCCTTCACCTTGCTGTATAGACCCCAAAACAAAAGTCGACGCCCACACAAAGCAGCGGCCAGCGTAGAGAAGTTTTGATAGAAAACAAAAATAGGAACATTACCAGAAGTGGACACGAGGAAAACAAGGTCTGTCTGCAGAGGTAAACAAAACGCCAGCACTATCAGCTGACGAAATGGACAAGTTTTCGATGGATGAAAGCGCCAGACAAGTTTTCGATGGATGAAAGCGCCAGTACGCTGAGTGTAAACAGGACAAGCTAGAGCTGTCAGAATAATCGCGTGTAGATGTGTAGGCAATGTTTTGGTTCCGCTCATCTGGAGGGCCAAAGAGGCGATCACGTGACAGGAACACGGTGATGGAAGATAGATGCCCCCGTCAGATGATGATGTAGAAGATAATGTTATGAAATTATCGAGAGGTTCGGGAAGTAATTGTGAATGTTATTGTAAATGTTATGAAAATTGTGTAAATATCGTTATGTGAATAATCAGATGATTTATAAATACAAAAAATTTCTCCTGTAATTTATATCAGTCTAAATATTAAGGCCTGCACCGTTATATGTTATATGAGTGTGCTTTAGATTGTAATTTAGTAGATCTATATAGCTTTATATGAAACATGGTTAAAAATATAGTGTTTGAAGTGTACAAAATCAAGTTTTATCTTTCAAATAGCTTTTTTTTTTTAAAATACATTTCTAAATTATCTTTCCCTTTCAGTAAAGTAAATCTACTAAAGTTTTCTACATTTTTAAAACAAAAGTCCAAACCAACAAATAAATTAAACTTTTAAAGAACCGTCAAAACCATTGTAAACATCTCTTTCACGTGAGCTATACAGTAGTCGTTAAAATAATAAATGTATCTGACAGTAGGAGTTTTGAACAACTCTCAAAGATTAGCAAAGATAGAAAAATTTATGTGTTAGAACGAACTGAGAACTAATTAGGGAACGTGATCAGATGCAAGAACGTGGTCATCTTTGGGAACGTGATCATCTTTAGAAACGTGATCATCTTTAGGAACGTGATCATCTTAGGAACGTGATCATCTTTAGAAATGTGATCGTCTTTAGGAACGTGATCATCTTAGGAACGTGATCATCTTTAGGAACGTGATCATCTTAGGAACGTGATCATCTTTAGGAACGTGATTATCTTTAGGAACGTGATCATCTTAGGAACGTGATCACAACGGTACAGCCCAGTTCTCCGGTGGGCCGCCAAAAAATTGATCACAAAGTTAAAGGGCGGTAACACACTTAGGTTTTAACAAATATTTGGCAAACAAAATTACATGTGCGATGATTAGACAGGCGGGCTGGGTTGGTCTGCTGCTCCGGGCGGCTGGTTAAAGAAACAACTTACAAATATTTGAACTCATCTCCGCGCAAATATTTGACTCTGAGTCTCGGCGAAAATTGAGACTCTTCGATCAAATTCGCGGCGTGACAGGCGAATAATGAGAAAAACGGTTTTTCTACACTCTCCTCTGCTCTTGTGAGATCCTTAGTGGGATGCGCACGGACGCTCCTCAACGCTTGGGGTGAAGTCCAGGGTAAACACTCGCTAACGGCGGAGTCAGGCGTCCATTCCGTTCATCCCGGAGTCAGGCGTCCGTCGGGTCGTGGGTTTTCGACTCCCATTTATTTTATTATCCCAAGGTTTTTAATGAACAACCTCGACGCGTGTGTTTGACTACTTAATTTGCGATACTTTCCACTTTAAAAAAACGAACCGCCATCTATTTTAGAGTTTAGTTCAACGGTTTAGCAAATGATGCGTCGCGTGACACACTTTATATTTTTACAATTTTTTTTTACCGACCTGAAAAGAAGTTGACGGCTGAATCTTTTTGCCATGTTATCTGCATGGTTTTTGTTTTCTTAATGTGCAGGCATGAACCGGTCATTTATTTTTATCAAAGGATATTAGGGGCAATCATTACATTTTTAAATTTAAAAAACAGGGGAGATAAAAAACCGTACATATTGAAACAGGTTATGTCTAGTTTGTTGGGGTGGATGTTTTCCCTTATAGAATACACAGGTGGCAAAGCTGGGCATATTAATACAAATACACATCTACGAATCAAATTAGTTTATATTTATTTATACATTATATATTTTACTTTAGAAAATTCACTTAAAATTAACTTTGTTGAATAAAAATAGTTAAAAATCGAATAAAGTTTTATTACAATTTTGAAATTAAGTCTCACCAGACGCTAAACTCTGATTTATATTTAACGAAGAAATACAGAAACCCGTGAAAAATTCCACAGCGCACGGCTGTATTTCTTTAGCAGGGATCAGCAGCCGGCACTGGCGTCATCGTGTTCCGGTTGGTGTGCGCGCGGTAATACATTTTCTGTGTACGTTCGTCGTGTCGCGGTGAGTAGTCGTTCATTTTTCATCCACGCCTTCCTGTCTGGAGAGTGTAAACAAGGGCCGCAATCACAGAACACATGATAAAACAAGGGCCGCAATCACGGAATACATGATAAAACAAGGGCCGCAATCATACAACACATGATAAAACAAATCGAAAAAAAAATTAACTGGAGTTAAAACAAAAAGGCAGCCTTATATATAAAAACCAATCATGTTTATATAAAAAAAAAATTGAATAATAATTCAGACATTCGGCAACATAAAATGGTGAATATTTCTGTGTAAAAACAAAATCAATAATAAACTAGTAAAGAACAAGTTATAAAAGAAAAACAAAGTACTTAATAGATTTAAATCCAGTTGATGGCAACCTGTCAAAGAAAATACCTGCGTTCATCTAAATGAAGAGAATACTCCCGTTGTTGTTGTTGACATGGATTAAAATGGTGCTGTTGTCAATTTAGCCATCAAAGCTGCCGTAAATAAAAGTAAATTAAAAACTTAATAAGCTTGAAATTTTTTTTTAATTAAAATATTTTAAGAATCAATGTTACAAAAGCTGCTAATGTGGAGCACTTGAAAACATTTGTGTGTGTTTAAGGCTACGTTTCTATTTATTTTCATCTAGCCAAAATTTTAATCTAAAGTTTCCATTTGGCTGTACGGAACATTCATGACCGATCTTCCGAAAACTGCACTTAGCAGTGATTTAAGCGCAACACTTTGACCAATGTATTTTTTAACCACATGACCTAGTTATGCCACGTTTATGTACATTTTCAGTGACCAAATGTGAACAACCACATTTTTTTGGATTTATTTTAAAATTTTGTTTAGCTACCGAAAAAACTAAATCATCTAAGAAAAACCTTACAGTCAGATTTTTATAGCCATATTTACTTTTATAACATTGTACGTGATTAAAAAAAATGTAATGGGCCTTTCGAATAATTTTGATACTATTCTCGGATGGGTCCATTAGTAAACTAATTGTTTTGTTTTTTAAACTTTTATTTTTACCTATTTCCAAAAGTAAACACAACTGCTGTCTGGTATATTTGGAAATATAGCGAGGTGTGGAGGAACATGTTTTCATCAATTGCACACAAATACGACTCGTTATATTTTGGCCAAAGCATATAACAATTAATGAGTTACTTAATATCAAGAACTACTTTAACCAAACGATAAACGTGTGACGTGTAAATAATAGACCTACCAGGGGATACTAAATATAACAAATCAAATTACCTGGACAAAAAAACTGACCTTTAGGGAGTTTATATAAAAGTTACCTTGGCTAAAAGTAGACAGACCTTTAGGAAGTTTATATAAAAGATACTTGGACCAAAAACGGACCTCTATGGAGTTTATACAAAATATACCTTGACCAAAAGACGGACTTTTAGGGAGTTTATATAAAAGCTACCTGTACCAAAAGACTGACCTGTAGAAAGTTTATATAAAAGCTACCTGTCCCAACCAATCGACCCGATGAACGCATTAGTTAGTGCAGCTAATGAATGACTCTACGTCACCAGCAGCAGGTATTGTGTGCCAGAACCCGGATGATGGCTGGCTTAGTACTCGCCGTTTGACACGTGACCTCCGTCATTTCAAGTGCGTCAAATCGTACCATACATCACACCTTACGGCCTGCGTGGAGCCGGCACAACGCGGAGCCGGCACAACGCGGAGCCGGCACAACGTGGAGCCGGCTCAAATTGGTTTTTGAAGGGGGTGGGGAAGTGGGGAGTCAGGAGAGTGGGCTCTAGAGCTAGAGACACCTCGTGCAATTAATTAATATCTTCAACTGGGACATTATTTACATTTTAATT